CCCCAAAACCCCAAAACCCCAAAACCCCAAAACCCCAATTCATTTGATTATTATTAAATTTGAAAAATTAATTAAAATAATCAAGGAGAAATAAAATAAGAAAGATGGAAGAGATTGAATCGCAAATGAGCATGCAAGGTGGCAATTTAGGCTTAGGCAATCACGGTTCAAAGGTAACTATCACTCAACTGCTTTACTGACATTATTCTATAGACGATGCCAGGATACTCACCATTCAGGCCTCCAAACGATGAAGAGGTGTTTATTACGAGAGAGACCGAAAAGTAAAAGCGTAAAGAAGCCAAGGAGAAGGCCAAAAATCTTAAGATTTGGGATAAAAAGACTGCAACATCCAGAGTTCCACTTAGAAAGGTAAAGGACTCAGACATTGCACCAGCCTAAATCGAGGAGAATCTGTATAATTTCAACTCAACGTAGAGAGGTTACATTTCAGCTGCAATGCACATAGCCAAGTCGAGAGTTCAATTCCCAAGAGAATAACGCCCACAAAACATTAATGAGTTTGTAGACTAGAAAAAGGAGATGTTCTTGGTAGAGCTTTCTAACACAACAATAAAGAAGGAGATTGAGGAACTGGATCATAAGAGCAAGAGAAAAGCAATTGCATTGAAGGACTCAAGCAACTAACTTGAAAACGATCACATTAAGTTGATGAAGTTTATTGAGTAGGATAACATCACTACCCAGGATAAAGAAAAAGAGGCGGAAAAGATGGTAGCTTTGAGGAAGAAAAAGGAGGCTAAGATCAAGAAAATAGATACTAGAATTGCAAATCTCAAGAGTGAGATCGAGAAGAACAAGGACGTACTGACTGGGCTAGAGGCTCACAAGGAATTCTTGTTGGAGTTGTCTCACATTAACTGGATAAATGATCAGGAAAAAGCAAAGAAAGCAAAGAGAGATAAGATCAAGAAGGAGTGGATCGAATTTCATAAAAAGGACAGAAGAGATGATCATCTGATTTTTAGAGATAATGACGATGAGCTCTTTACTGAGACCGGAAAAGGAGGTGCCTCAGCTATTGGTGACATGGCAACTACCTAAAAATCTGATAATCAAGGTGGCATGCATAAATAATCTAAGAAAGGTCAGCAGATTCAATAACTTAAGAGAGAAACGATGACTGATAAGGACTGGGAAGCCAAGTTTGAAATGCTTTTCAAAGAAGACTTGATTGATCTGCCAGAAGACTTCTTCGATGAAGAGCTGTTTTACACAGACCCCAATGACCTTAACAATATTTTCAGTGAACTAGAGGAGAAAAATCTCTACTTGATTCACATGTCTTAGGAAGTAGAGCAGTCTCTTGAGACCTAGAAGCAGCAATACTAGATGCTGCAGGAGAAACTAGGAAAGGAAATGGAGATTCATACCAAGAACAAAAGAAACTTGGAGGAGTAGATAAATGAAAGCAATAAAAACTTGTATGAGCTCAAAAAGAGAAGCTCAGTTAACACTCTTAGCAATCAGCAATAATCAGAAAAAGACAAGGATAAGAACAAGGATGCGGAGGTTGATGTGAATATTGAGGAGTTACTGCACGATCTCAAGAAGGATATCCACAAAGTATATAAAAACACTATTGATCCTCATGCTGATCTCCACGCTAAGTTGACTTTAGACATCTTAACCGAAGTGGAAATCACTCTAGAAACATACATGAGAAACATCGACTACATGGAGAAGGAAGATGGCGTTGAAGTGAACAAGATAGAGAAGAGCTTGAAGGGAGACTACAAGAGAGAGCAACGTGAGAAGAATGCCAACAAAGAGAAGGAAATGATAAACAAGAAGAACTCAGAGTTGAAGGCTCGTATGGACAGAGTTTACGAAAAGGTCGGCAGAGTTGCCATGCCAAGATCCATGAAAAAGAAGGTAAAGAGAGAGAAAGCTGAAGTTAAGGTAGATGAGCACACTCTAGATAGACTAAGATATCTAGGACAACTTGACCCCGTTGACCAATAGAATAAATGATTGTTTTTTCAGAGGGGATCTTAATGATAATGGATTAAAATTATTAATACTAAGGATATTGTTAATTCTTATAATTTTCATATTGAAGGAAGTTGATGCTCAGATGATTACTTATCATGAAATTAAGATGATCAGAATGCAACTGAATTTAACATCAAACTAAGTTCATTTAGAACAACCTACTCACTCAAACTCTCAGTCTTCTCCACTATATGTGTCTTTATCTGCTTCTTACCTATGAAATCTAATTCCTTCTCCACTAAGGCATCCATATTTATCTAACTCTTAAACTGCTTTGTTAGACTCTCTAACTCCTTTAATTGTTGATTTATATCCTATTCCTCATCCTCAAAAGCTAAAGCTCTTTTCAGACAAGCGCTCCACTCTTGTTTATTTAGATTACTAAGCATGTCTGTTTCTATATCATCACTTGTCTTTGACTTTATATTCATGGAGTAGAATAAACGGTTGAGACCACGCATCATAGCATCACGCTAGGGCTTCTTCATCTAGCCTTCATTTGATGTTGTTTGTCTGGGCTCAGCTTTCATCATCATGTGATATGGATTTATTGACCTGAAAGCATCCATCACCACTCTGCCTTTCACGCTTTATATTGGATCTATAACCACTGCTACTGCTCTAGTATTCTATTGCTCAAAGCTTTTCTAAGTGGTGATGTCAACAATTGAAAGCCAGCATCCAAATCCAGGGTGGGAATGATACCATCCTACTAGTTTTTCTCTTCTGCCAACTTTCTCTAGCATTTCTACCATATTCAGTTGGAATACAGGGTCGACAGACTCCACAGATACAGTTGAGGCAACCTAGGGCATGGCAAAGACATCCACACATGTCACTGTAAATTCATCCTCCATCTCCCCAAGCATCACTCCCATTACTTCAAATGGCACTCCAGATCTACCTTAATTCCAAAATATATTAATATCCCTAAAACTTACAATGCTTAAGCATTTTCATCAAAGCCAATGCAGATACTTTTACTTGCCTATTGATATTTTATCATTATAATAGATAATATTACTCTGAAGTGTCCGGAATCTCTATTGCATCTGACTAGGGCTAACCTTGGTTCATACCACCCATTCCCATCATTGGGTTAAATCCTCCTCCAAACATATTAAACATTTTTGCGGATTAATAAATAAACTATATATTTTTAAGTAAACTTGATTATTGATGAAATTAAAATAGCTTTAAATAAATTCAATAAGATCTTTCAAACATTCATTATTTGTAAAATACTTGACATATTTTTATTTAAACTCAGTTGAGATCCTGTTCTCTATAAATTTGTTTTAGAAGGCTTCCCTTTCTTCGCTTTGGCTAACTTAACTAATTTTGCATATAGGCAAATTGAGTCTGTTGACTTATAATACTCCCAAGTTGCTATTGAGAATAACTCTATCTAATTTAGGAAGCATTCATATTCATCAATCTTTTGCTTATACTCTGATCAATTGGCATAGATGACTCAGCTAGAATCACATCGTTCTATTATATCAAGACAGACTCTGGTGAGCTATTTATGTTAATGGATTTCTAGTTCTTTTAAGACTTATTGCTAAGTACTGGGTTGAATAGATTATCAAGATGACTGACTGAACTAGTGTAGTAAAGAGGCTTTTGTGCATGTCTATCTGTCCTGACATTCTAATGAGAGGTGCCTGATCTTAGCATATCTTATAATAGTACTATATTATTTGTACCCTATGGCGAAATTAATGACTAAGTTTGATCTCTCATTTTATTTTGACTGGATAGCCCAAGTCTTTGAGAAAAAAATCTTTAATTGTTATTATTGCTTGCTTGATCGGTTTAGTTCAGAGTGATTTCATCCTAAGTATTCTTTGTCAAATTTGGACTCTTGGTTTTGTCAAAAATATCTGAGCTTTGATTTCTCTCCAACTTTTTCTGTTTATTCTGGATAAAAATAGATCCTGTTAACTGATTGTTATCTCTAGAGTATATTTCACTTTTGCCTTAGTCATCAATGTTCATATTATTTTTCTTTTGAGAGCTATAGAGATCTTAGGTGCTATTGGTTTTTGCTATCTTGAGGTTGCCCTTGTTGAACAAACTAGTTTTTGGGTGTAAATCATCTAATTATTGAACTGCAATACTATCTGGTTTCTTGTTATCTTAAGATAGCATATCAATCGAATCCATATCATATTTGAATTGTATACTGGCTTAAAAGGTTTGACTACCTCTGGATCCAATACTAGCATTTGAATGACTTTCTCGTTTTGATCCCATAAGATTAGTCCCAATATGACTTCTGCTCTTGCTGATAACTCCATCATTTCCCATGAAAGTAACAGTGGAGAACTTTCCTGATCTCTTAGTTTGATTTGACCCAGTTGTTGTATAATCATGACCTCCCTCAGTATGAGTTACATCCTTTTTATTGTTGTTATTGTTGTTAATAGTATTGAATTTCTCATTGGATGGCATGACAGCTGCAGTAAATCTATTTATTTTTAGCGACACATCATCACACTCCTTAACAAACTTATTTAAGAATTTCATTTCATTCTTCTAGAAATCCTAAAGCTTTAAGTTAATTTCCTTAAAAGTGTCTCCCTTGTTCTGAATTGGAGAAAACTTTGAGGTTGGGACTGACATCAATCTTAGCGATGCTGGTGTAATCAATGCCATCTTTTTCTTCTATTCTTCTTGCCTTTAAATGGCTAATTCTTTTTCTTGCTTATTCTTGATGATGTCTTCTTTGACCTTTTTGTATTGATTTTTAGAAAAAGACTCCTCTTAAACATTATCATCAATCTCAACATATTTCTATTTGAACCTACTTTCAAATAGTAGTAGAGGTCGATGATCCTATTACAAAACCTAAAAATTCCAGTCTTGAATAGCTTTATTTCTAGGTTATATTTAGAATAATTTCTGACATTTACTATACTCTCTGTAAAACTATTTTGGAGTCAGACCTCTGTTGTTAAAGTCCATATTCTAAACTACTGCATTGAAGTTTAAAGTTTCTTGCAGTTCTTAATGTTGATTCAACTCTCCTTCGATTAGATCTTTTAACCCCACAACAATCACTTTGATATAATCCATGTTTACTATGATATTAAGATAATCTCGAAGAGCCTCCTACACCTTCCCGAATAATATATTCTCATTCTAATCTGCAATATTAGTATACTTTTTTTTCGGTCTCTTACTGCCTTTTCTACTTTTATTGAGTCTGTAGACAGACATACTAGCCTATCTCTCCTGATACTAGTGGTTCTTCTCATCTAATGAAAGCATTTTCTCGGCTGTTTCCATAACTGAATTTCTCTCTTGGGAGCCTCTTTTAGGTTGCAGGAACATACTTAGGGGAGTTGAGTTTTTTGAGTTTCTTTTCTTTAGGTTACTTACAATCAGATTATCATCACTATCTCGTCTTTAGATATCTTTTTCAGTTACTTTTTCTATGAATTTTTTAACAATTTGAGAGAGCTTTTTGAATTCTACTTATGGAGCTGAGGTTCTTACTTTGTCAAGTTTAGTACTGATTCTATAAAATTGTTATATGATATTTTAATCTTTGTTACTTTATCATTAAATCAGTGAGAAAGAGGAATATCTTTTTTCTGAATTGCTTCCTTAAAGAGATTTTTTGCTTCAGATCATGTAACTTTATATAGTTATCATAAAGGAATATAAGATTTGTTAGGGACTCAGGCTAAGAATTTTCCTCACTCTAGGTAATAGTTATAATTTATATAATCTTACCATTAGCTTTTTAGAGGTTAGTAGTTAGTTTTCCAACTTATCTCTTTCAACTTACAAATCTTCAAGCAAGAGTTTCCTTTTATTCTTTTCTGATGTCATGTCATCAAAACTCACATTCAGAAACTGATTTTTAATCATTACTTCCTCATACTGGTGTATTATCATTTTTTCATCTAAGTAAAAACTGTCTTTAAACTTCATCCACCTGAACTTTATGTTTTTAGTTTATTCCATTGCTCTTCTCTCTTTCTTTTTGAGAGCTGGATCTTTTTATTATTATTGATTCTGCTATTATGGATGATCTGAGCTGGCACTATTGTTTAAAGTAGCTTGAGAAGACTTGGAGCTAGTAGAATTTTTCCTTATTAGCTACTAAGATGGCTGATTGACGAATTATACCTTTCCAGATGCTAATAACTGCAGTTAATCATTGAAATTTAGAGATTGTTTCACAGATATTGTAAGTTTTCTAAACTGTGGAACAAGTCTTAACTCCTATTCAAAAGCGAAGTCATTACTTTCTTTCCGTTCTTTCATAAACTCCATTAGAAATTTCAGAATGTCTAACTTATTAAGTAAATTCTCCTCATCGTTTCTTTTATTGAAGAAAGCAGTAATAATGTCTTCTATCTTTATAGATTCGTTCTCTCTCTTTAGATAGCTCAACCTTCTCTTGGCTATTTCTAACTGTTAATCCTTATTCTACATTGCTTGAGCTAGGCTTTAGCGTTCCTATTCTTGGTCCAGAAGTTCCTAGCGCTTTTATATCAATCTATCAGCTTTATTCATGTTGAACTCTGTGATCTCATTTTTGCATTTATTTATTCCGCTCAGGGCAGTATTCTAAATAAAGATTCATACTCTATTAACTTACGACTCTAGTCTAATTAATAAACTTAGCATGCTAAAACGTTTCTAAGGTAAGACCCATATCTCTGACATCAGGAAGTAAATGCATCAATTGCACATGATCATACTATTTCTACTTCTACAGTTCTAGCTTCATGTACTTGAGTATATCTATCTATAAATCAACTTCATCCTAGGACTAGTATATTTTTTCAATTCCATTTATCAAGCTATTCATCTTTTCACTCAGCTCATCGATGTCATTACTGGTAATACTCACTCTAAACGACATGAAAGGAGTATAAGCTTTCATTGAATTGATTGAGTGCACATTATATGTTGTTGTGAATGACTTCTAATGCCTCTGCATAGATGTTGAAGTCGTATTCATGATTCGAGATTGCTTTTACATTGTGCTTTACTCTGCCTGCTCAAGATACTAAGCTTACTGTTGATTTTACGCCAACTCTGACTTGAATTACTCGAGCAACTGACATTTCTACTCGTACTCACTCTTCAATTCATTGAGGTATTTGTTTAACTAAGATCATTTAAATTAATCATATGATAGGATTGATTCAAAAGATTGAAAAGATCATTATATCTTGTAGATAAGATATATCACCTGCAAGTGCAATTAGATAAACTTACATTTTCAGGATTTACTTGATCAACGACTGGAATATGCGGCTGTTCAACCACCCTAGGCTTGGATAATTTTGCCAGGCCATGTGAATTTATATTTTAATCTAAATCATTACAATTAGATTTCAAATAGGGCATACATTTGGGAGTTTTTAGGGACTGACTCCTAAATAGATTAGGGGGTATTTGACTTAAGATAGACTATGAAAATCTGCTTTAATCGACCATAGTAATAATTAAATTAAATTCTAAACTTAATTTCATTTTCGCTCTAATTATTATCAATAATGTGCACTCGGGGTTTTGGGGTTTTGGGG